ATCCTTCACTAAAAGTCTGTAAGTTGTTGAGTCATTTAAATGAACTATCATTTTTTCTATATAACTTAACTTATCAATGATGACCACTGCACCACCTTTATCTGCCTTTACCACAAACAGATCATTTTGGTGCATATATATCTAGAAACTTTATTCAAGTCATAAGATTTCTTTGGGATAATTAGCTTATGAAATTGAGGAATAACTTTTCTTTTTATTCTATTCTTAGCCTCTTCTAGCAGCTTGTCCGTTGAGTTAATTAACTCAACCATTGTCTCCATAAAATTCTAATTTGGAAGGGCGAAGTTTAGACCTTTTACCAAGAGGAGCGTAACATTAACATTTATAGGTATACTGAATAAATTAACGATTTTATTTTTGCTATAACAAATAGCACTAAATTTAACAGGATCCTTATTCTTTCGACTATTCCTCAATTGATTTTATTGCATAAATTCCTTAATTTTTTATCATGTCGGCATCTATGAACCTTATCCATCCTTTCAGCCAGACCGTCCGTCATATTCTGTTATTTAAAAGAGTCTTCTTGAGAAAACAGCAGAGAAATGGATTGTTTAGTCCTTGTTTTAGTTTTAATCAGGTCATATAATTTGGCTATACTTTATTTTAGTCTAGTTTTAACAAAGCCACCTGATACATGCTCCAGTTTCCTATTAGTAGAAATATGTAAATCTGCACGTCTATAAAGTATACGAAATCTAGGTACAACATTATGTGAAATACACATTTTAAAAAATCTAATTATATTGACTTGCCGGGATATGGATTTCTTGGTCTTCGTATTTCTTCTGATTTTCTCTGAGATCGAGTATTCATCACTGGTCACTAGATAGTGAAACCAAGGATTCTATCCTTCAGCTCCTCCATTGTATACATACTAAAAGATAGTTCTAAGAAATATACTGCTCAGGTCTCATAAGTAGGCCTAGCGGGAATCTTACCAAAAAAATTCGCGCTCGTAAGCAGGCAAGCTATGTTTAAGATCAAACTTTCACTTCGGACCTGGGCTATGGTAGAGGCATGACATTTAGGAGAAGATAGACCTCTCCCACTTTATAGCCATGGTAAAAATAATTCTATAGTACAAAACATGCTTACCAGTAAATTTCATATTATCTTAATAACTTTATTCCTGGATAACACGGCGCTTTGTGATTTTGCAGATTACACAGCCATATTTATGTGAGTGTTGGCACAGGTATTATTTTCTCTAGCACATCTTCTGCACACGACCTTCTTAGATGTTATCATTCCTAGGTAAACCTACTACTTCGCCTGCAGAAACCACGATTTTTCGTTCAAGAAATCTGTAGACCAGTGCAACACACCAAATCGAATTTAGGCACAAGAAAACAAATTGATTTTTATGAATCCCCTTTTTCTTAGCACCAGTGATTTGCTGTCAAAGCCAGAGATCAAATGAAAATGGTAGATAAAACGGTTCATTTTACACCTTCTTTACAGTGAGATTTACATCTCTAGAGTACAGAATGTCGTATTGTAACATCATGTCGATACGGCTAAGCTCATAAAAGATTCGAAGTATCTATTTGGCCTGAATATATGGAACAGCCACTATAATTCTAATGGATATTCAACTTTTGGCACATATTCCTTTACTTGGGTTGACAAAGAGGAGGTCACGACTGTTGATGAAATAATAGACACCAGAGGGATGGAAAGTGGACAAGCACTCAGTGGTGAGACAAAACAATTTGGAAATGACTCAAGCCTCAAGGAAACGGGGGTGTTAGAAAAAGGGATTTTGTACATTCTTAGACCTCAGGTGTGGTAGTGACAAGTAATATATATGTATATCGTTTGGCTCTTAGTCTGTGAGGGCATAGTGACTCAAGGGCCCTTGGATAAAAGAAAAGCATGACGTCGCCGACGGACCTCTCTTCACCTGAAGACTCACACAGAGTGAACCGTGATTTCCTTCCGTCTCTCAGTTATATCCTTTTCATAAGTTAACCCGAGGAACATGGAACTTTGGGCTATTGGTCGGTTGGCTGCGCTCCAAAGCGGAACTGTCAAAAGGAAGAATTTAGTTCGATGAACAAAGAGTCTTTATTAATTGATTTCCAGATTCGGAAGTTCAGAGTAAATTGTAAATATTGTATCTTGCTTGAGTTAAACACAGAGCTTACTAATCTGTCTGTTGTGCAGGGGCTTATGGATAGGCATTAATGGGATGATATGCTGCACGCTTAGTAACAGATCCACTTCCACAGTGGAACTCTTTTTACGATGGCTAAAATAAGAAATGGGCAGGCCTTAAAGGATACGACAAGAGCTAAATCTTTTAAAGTTAATCCTTGCGATAAAAAAATTAATTGTCTTGTGGATAAGTTAAGAGGGTAAGACGTATGTGCATATTATGGAAGAGGCAAAGCTTGGCTGAGGAGAGCGTTCTATGAAAAAACTTCTTATTGGTTGGTTAAGGCGGTAGGTGTGTATGTGTGCGCTAGTTTGTATGCAGACAAACTAAATGTCTATTCTAAAACTGCCTTGGTACCGGAGGCAACCTGTAACGAGAATGGGTATCTTTAGCACAAGCTGGGTCGAAAATGGGCTAGATTTTCCATATAGAAATGAATAAAAGGCATAGGAGGCCATTGAAATGCACTTGGCATTGCCGTTCAAGGGAATTTTTAATCCAGCCTTTACGGTAGACTTGATCTCGCCTAATTGTATTGATAAAGCCTACATATATTTGCTATTCAGATCTACGTTATTGCTATATACGAAATTGGCAAGTAGAGCTTCGATAAGAACTATATTCTCCTTTATGAAATATTGGAAACTTATTTATGAGGCCTTTGGGCTTCTAAGGAGACCTAGCTTTACTCTTCTTTATGCCCGTTGGAGAATATCTGTATGCTTAAATCTCATGGAATGAGCCTAAGTATGTGAGTTTTGACTAATAAGTGTGACTAGGATTGGATTCATTTGTGAAATAATAATCAATCTATGTGGCTAACTGAAGATAAGATTGCTTAATCTGTTGCACTTGTTCTACAAAACCAGCTAAGAATTCTTTGGGCAAAAGTATACATGAACAAATTAAAATAGGATTTTAATACGTAATCGCTGTAACCAAGACTGTTCATGCGGTACTTGGATGACTACTTCGCACTTTAGTCGCATGAAAGAGAAAAATTGGATGATTTCCTGAAGTTTATATAACAGAATGATGAAAGGAGTAGAGAAAGGAGAGCGGTCGCCTTTCCTGGATATTGAAATCGTTCGCTCGATTGGCACATTTAAGAGAAAATTGTTTGGAAAGAAGTCATGTCGGAATAAAACACAATTTCAAGTCTCATCACAACTACAGCCTGAAGATCGTAATAATGAGGAGCATGATCATAAGAAGCCTACGATTGACGGACGCGAAGTTCTGGGATGAAGAATTGCACAACTTGATTTGTATATTCCTCGGCAACGAATACATAAGAGAAGTATTACAACGAAGCATACTGGCCGTGAAGAGCCGGTGGCAGGACGGGGATTACGAAAGAAGAGTAAGGACGGATAAAGACTCGCAAAAGTGGATATGCCTACTTTCCTGCAAACTAGCTCAAAAATTACGGCCAATATTGAGAAAATAGAATATTCAGATGACTACGATGGAAAAATCATCATTCTCTTCAACTTTATCCACTCACCATGATAGGATAGACAAATCGAATTTCTCGGAAGATTACTGATTAGAATGAGGCGAAACGGGAAGAAAAATCAGCACACGAATCAAGGAACATAAAAGGCTCTGCAGAAAAATGGATGCCATAAGATCAGAAATAGAGGAACACGTCGCATAGACTGGACACGAGATCAATTGGGAGACGACATAAAGAAGATCCTCATATGGTGAAAATAGAATGAAACGGAAGATTGGAGAAGCCAGTGACACCGTTTTTGAAGGAAGTTTAATGAACAGGAGATTGGACAAATGCAGTGTTAGTGATAACTTTGAACATTGCTTAAGCAAATTCTGAGCTAACAAGTATACGGCAAGACCAGCAAAAAGGAGATGCCTGGATCAAGGGCCTATCCTTAATCAAATACAGCTCTTATCAACTTTTTTTTTCATTAGCAGCACCATAAATAAGAAAGCTAATTAGAGTTGAGACCAAGGAACGCATAATCGCATAGCTTCATTAAATTAATATTGGCGAAATTATGTCTCTTTCCTTAACCACCTGCGGATGATGCGAGTAACTGCTTACAAATAATCCTTTGAAGATATGAAGAAAATTTGGGTTCTGTGGAATTTCTAAGTGATTTATTGTAACATGAATTACCATTCATTTGGAGAGAAAAATTGGTTGGAAGGAATTCGTGAACGGATCTCATCGGAAACCGAAGGAGGATTTATGGCGGAGGAAAGACTGTTGGATTGTACGAAGAACCCCTTGGCTCGCCGTCCCGCGATCCCAATGAGGCTGTGCCATGCTCATCAGAGCAAGAATGCATACTTTACGAAACAGCCCAAAACATATACTAAAATCAGATACAGTCATACCATGCTGAAGTAGCGTTTCAATATCTTGTTGGGCTTGGGCTTAATTACATCTTTAGAATTATTCATCATTGTTTGCTACTACTGACAGGTCAGCGAGTTCCTTTTCAGAATAGTAAAGACTTACTTCCATCTTCCCAGATAATTTCACGAATGAATTAGTGGTGGCTAAATGATCATAAAATCCAGGTCATGAGATTTCGATCATGAAATTCTGAATTCTGCCGCCTAATAGAAACTTAGTGTCACCCTTACTTGAAAATCGTGATAATCAATCCCATTTTTAATAAAACTAAAAACTTTTTTCAAGAAAATTGTGTAATAAGGCCTGTGAAAGGATTTTTATATTTAGATTCCACAATTTATAATCAAGCAATTTTTCATTACTAGCGTCTTTCCGATAAGTCGAAATACCAACCTTAGCTTGTGACTTCTAAGCTTCATTATCCTTAGGCAAATGAAGAGGGGTTTGATATGGCTTTAATTGAATTCTCGTAAATGGCCCAATTTTTTCCTCATTGTTTCTACCGAAACTCTTATTACCTTATCGAGTACCTTGTTAAAAGTAATGCTGAATTCGTAGCGTCTTTCAAGATTACAATATTTAGAGTTCGCATCATGATTAACTTGCTGGAAGGGCACACCTAATCTTAATTTATCAAGATGAAAACAAACGAAAAAGGCTGTGCCTGTTATGATAGCGTCTGTTTGATCTGAACATTTCTAGACACATGTCTCATACTTGATCACTCCTTAAATCTCTTCTTCCTTGATTATTTTGCATATTCCTAGAATTTACTTTAGTCAAATTTGTTTACGAGTATCCCTGATTTGCTTCATTATGGGCAATATTATTTCGTCATATAAGTGCTTTTATCTCGTTTTCGCATCTTGTTCTTGTTGCCAAGGTGTTAGCTAAATGGTAATTTCCATCATTAGAGGTTTGACTTGCTACCTTCCCTACTTTTTGCCAGCATCGTAGTCGGCTCGAACTACAAAAAGTTATATAAAAGCATCATTCGTACTGCATAATTTTCCGTTGGTCCTGGTCACTGATTCGATTCTGGGAGTAGCTATAGCTGCAATGGCAAAAGATCAAGTACTAGGTATATTCTGGACTCAAAATAGAGTCCTGTTGTTTGAATATATGTTTATGAGTGAGGACAATTTTGTTAGTCAAGTGGCTACTACGTTCACGGCTCAGAGTACTAGTACTATTCTCTGTTATCCTGTTGAAGTATGTTTCACAAACCACATAATCTTTTGCTAGAATGAATACATTTTTTAGATACAGTAGTCTAGTTTGATGTACTCACAGAACAAATTAAGGAGAGTATGAACTTATTTGGAACCAATTTTGAATTTTATGATGTGGAATCAAGGACAAGCTGCAGGGTATACCTTCTCTTCTAGTTTTTATACGATGCAAGGTAGGCCCTTTTATTCTAATCTTAGATGTCCTCAACCTATTTCGCTTAAGCTGATGAGGGGAATGACAATTAAAACCTACCTACTTATAAACGCAAAAAGAAGCGTTACTTCTAAGCCTAATTTTTTAAAGAATTAGTAAACCATGAATTCTTTTCAACTATATAACTGTTCCTATAATGTAGATTATCCTACTTCCTATCTTTAAGAAAACAGCATTAATCTGCTCATCCGATTGGGTCACGAAAGGGTGCGAATTCGGCTCAGTTTTTACACATCGAATGAGGCTCATAACTTGTTCGCACGGTTGGCGCATTTTGTCCGATCAAAGAAGGCTGGTACTGTTCCCGTGGATCGGATCCATCTGCCTTCTGATAAAGGGGGTGGTCAGCTGGATGAACCTTTGGAAGTGGATGGAGAAATTGTGTGGAATGAGAATGATAATTATCAAGAAACTGATGAGGAAGATGATGAGGAAGAGGATGAGGTTAGCGTTGACATAGACGAACCTTTTAACCAGTCTTTGGGCAACGAAGAGACTTTAACTAATACTGGAAATACGAAAAATGCTGCCCAGGCGTCCAGCTCATCTGATCATCGGACTGGGCTCGGAGGCGGCCATACTTACTTGGCTGTCAGTCGGAAAGATCGTGGAAACTCAAAGCTGCAAGGCGGAGGTGTGACGTCGAAAGGTGTTCGGGACTGGCTTAACGGGCATACAAGATGCGGTCTGCCCGAGCCGACTGAGAAAAGGACAAGTAACCGAGATGCGGGTGAGTTGAGTTGCATCTTAGGAGCTCGTGAAGGAAAAGTGTGAGTATAG